CTCCTGAACTCAGGATGTGAGTAGATGTGTGAAACAGTTCTTATTTATTTTCTCCCAAATTATTAGAAGTGTAAAAGACATTGAGAAATTAGAAGATTCTTTTGATTTCAGGTTCACTAAAAAATTTGTCTTAGCAAAGACACTGCCATAGACCTACCCAGAGACCTGGCATATTCACCTGGGCTAGAAAGATCTTTTACATATTGGGGCATCACTGAGTCTTACTTGAGGCAAATTTGTGGTTTTGTCACACAAAAGCAAACCCTGAAGGAGTTCTCATAGGATCAAAATAACACAATGTTGAGAATGATCTACACAGCAGACTGGATATATGTAATGGTGCTTCAACAAGAAATTTTATGGAGAATTTTCAACTTTTACCCTGGTTTATATTCACAACAACCAGGATTTGAGGTGAACATGGAATCCACAATAGTAAGAGATGCATATGGAACCCGCAAATTCAAAATTCTTTGGCATTCCGTTTTTCTCAGAGTACAGGCTCCATCTAAACTATTTGGCTTAAGTTTTCGCCTAGTCCCATCATACATTCTTTCACTAGAGAGCTGATGGCTCTCAGAATTGTATGTCTTTATTAAATTAATGAAGATCCAAAATTGTCAGAAGATTGATTACAAGTTGTGCTGTTCCCATTAAGAATTGTCCTTTTTACTGTAGTAAAGAGATATTTGACTTCCAAATATAGGTTAACTGGCCAAAGAAAAACATGTAATTTAAGATGTATATAATGAAACCTACTCTTGATTTCTACAGTTTGGTGAGACTGTGATAGTCTTATCAAAGGAAACTGAGAAATATGGCATAGGACGGAAGAATTCCCTCAGTGTCTTGACCCATCCCCTCCTTTGTACATCTGAAGAATATGGTTAACATTGTGTTGTTGTTTGTTTCATTTTGTTTTAAGGCTTTAAGGGCTTCCCTAGTTAACTTAAAAATCTGTAGAAAACTTTGGGGAAATTGCTTTTTTATAGATTACTTATGCCTCTTCATCATATTGAATTCAGCTTTATTTTCCCCTTAATATCTGTTCAATTGCACTGCCTTCTATTTTCTTGGATAACAAACCACCATTTCCTTGTCACTACCTCTCTCAAATTACTGGAGATAACTCTAAATCCTTTCTTTCCAGGGATTTAGTTCTAGAAGAGAGTAGCAGARACGGAACTAAAATTGGTTACACTGACAGTGCCTGACAAAAGATCCCTGTCAGTCCTCTGTATCTAGATCTAGGCTTCATTTCTCTAAAACGATGAGAGTAAGCCTGGTTTGGGGGCACAAGCCTGTAATCCCAGCAATTGGGAAGCAGAGGCAGGAGGATTAAAAATTTGAGGTCAGCCTCAGCAATTTAGCAAGGCTCTAAGCAATTTATCAAGACCCTGTCTCAAAATAAATAATAAAAAGGGCTGGGGATGAGGCTCAGTGGTTAAGCACCCTTGCRTAAATTGATAAGAACCAACTGGTTTCTTCACATGAATTAACCTTTCCAACTGGATTTCAGGTTTTTATTTCCATAGGCCAACTATTGCTTTTAAAACGAAGTTCTTCAAATCATAGTCTACTTATTATGTTTACTAGTGTTTTGCTTTTTCTGGTGTAGAAATTCCAGTAAGTGAAAGGAATCTTAAAAACAGAGGGGGAGTGATTTACCTCTGCACTGCTATCTCTGGCCTTTCTATCCCTGTACTTTCTATCTCTGATATTTAAGACAAGATCCTTCCTTTGCCATATCTGTTATAGGCCAACTCTGTGATAATCACAGTGATCAGGCGGCACTTACTGAATTTGCATTTTTACCTTATAAATAAAAATCAGACTTTCTTTGCATACCATTCATTAAATATTCAGTTTAGTTTCCCCAGTTTGCTGAAAATGAAAGCCTGGTTCAGTCTTTCTTTGTGCCATGTCTTCGCTCACATTAGTCATTCCTCTGATCTGTTTAAAGAGAAACTGCAACCTGTTGAGAATAGCCTGAAGCAGCAGGGGGAGAAAACTTTTAACAGCTGTCTGGTGCCTTGCCAAGGGGCAAAGTTCTCTCATTGGATAAAAACCATTTTTCTTCTCTTATCCATTGCTTCCCACTCCACTCCTAAAGGCCCTATACAAACACAAGGATTTGCCAAGCATAACAGGATCACACCTAGCCAGCTGTGGCAGCCAGCCATGGAGATAGGCGCTGAACCAGGCTCATGGCTGTTGTGTTTACCCTTTCATCTCAGGTTTTTCTAGGCAAGTTCTTTTTTCTCAGATCTTGTGATGATATTAATGTTTCCAGCAAGATACTGGCATTTTTTTTTTTTTACATTTAGCTAATCTTCTCCTTTCTTTTTAAATTTTTTTCTCTCCCTTCAAATTTTAAGTTGTCTTACAGTTTTTCAAAATAGTAGAGACACAGATAAATTACCTGAGTTATTTCCTCTCCACACAAGATCTAAAGTGATGGAAATTAGGTAAAGTTTGAAAACTGTGAGCAGACATGAAAAAGACCCTGTATGGGATATTCAGCTAGACTATGTGAATAGCCAGGAATTAAAAGGACAGACACAGAGAAAAACTTACGAGATTTTCAATACCCAGAGGTATAGCTGCAATAGGAAAATTTTCTAGGAATTTTTAAAGGAAGATAAATGACTGAATATGGCATCTGCATTACATGGAGTGTTTCCCTATACTTCATGTTTTTCCTTTATGGAATTTTCATTTCTACTTTATTCTTACCTAAATACATTGCTTGGCATCTCGTTATTTTAAATCTGTGTGCTGCACAGCTATATGATATCAAAGCAAAAATTCCACTGGATTGAATGTACTAAAATAACAATGTTTGGTTCATACTGTACTATCTTGAACCTCAGGGAGTAACTCTCTCAAATCACTTTMGTTTGTGCAAGCACAGTGATGCGGACCTGAGAGATCACACATAGCAACGGAGAGGATAAGGATCTCATCCAAACACTGGCAGCAGGCCATGAGGAAAAACTGCCCCAAGAAAATGATATTTCCAAAGATCATTTTATGATAGTGGATAGAAACCAGGTTTTCTTTCCTTTTTTTAACCCTTATATTTTATTACACATTTATTATATTTTGTCAGAGGCAAGGACTGAGGAAAATTGTTATACTTCTTTCTTAACAAAAGGTTTCCATCTTCATTCATCTGTACTTTCTTACCTTAAATTTCTAATTATTTAAAATGTGATATCAAAAATTGTGGCTGGTATGTCATGATATTATTTCTTTTCAAATTTTGACTACTGTGTAACCATAGCTACAAAGTCAAAAGAGATTTTTTTTTGCTCTTAAGTTGGAGGGTTCTTTCAGAAATGTAATACAAGCAAAATCTTGCTTTTGCTTTGATTTTAATGATAACCAACCAAATTGAACCACAGGCATTATAAGCTGTGAGTCTACTGTGAGTGGCCTTTGACTAAGCCTCAAACATGCAGCCTGTAATTGGCCAAGAGCTTTGTATTATTTGAGCTTCATATCCACTCTGATTCTCTGCTTAATCTATTTAATACACGGTTCCTTCCATTATCAAGTTGACAGATTCCACTTGGCTGAAGGCTAAGTTTCAGAAAAAATGACCAAACACACAGACTTCCATTTTTAGACCAACATCCAGTTAAGGATAACTAAATAAGTACCAAATGACTAATGAACTAGGACATTTCTAATCCTTTTGTTACAGACCTGGGACAAATAAAGATATGTCAATAAAGGATCAGTTTCTTTAGACATTCAAGATTTGGTGAACCATAGATATTCTTAAATTAATTGAAGAAAATCATTAACAGTTATTTTAGTACAACTTAGATATATCTTATAATTTAAAAAGAGACATTATGTTTTTTGCATATGAAGTTTGGGGTCAGGGTCATAAATTATGAAATCTTCAGGATCTACAGCTCCTTAAGAATGACCTTTAGACAAGTGGCATGTTTTTGGAGCCCTGATGGGATTATAGTGAGTACCTAGTACAAATGGCTGAGATCAATGGAACCTATGTTTCAACTCAAAAAGAAGACTAAAAAAAAAGGAAAATTTTTCATATAAATTTTCTCTTACATTTCTCATTTCTTCTATTTACCAATTAACTATAATTTTCCCTTCCAAAAAATCTGTTAGTTCATTAATAATTCAAATGATTAACACTAGTATCCTATAAGATAACTTACTAAATTATGATATTTTGAAATATACATTAGATTTAGGATATAATTTAGGATACATTTTCTGAAAAACAGTCAAATTGTAAATTGATTTCCTTATTTTTGGATAAAGGTACATGAAATTCATTAAATTTGTACCAAGTTGGACTTTTAAATTTTTACCACCAGGGGGCAGATTATGCTAGCTATTTATTTAGTAGATTCTAAAAGTGACACAAGGGGCAATTTTAGACAGAAGGGGAAAATTCTCCAAGGGTTTCTTCACAGATTCTTTAGTGGAAGAAGTGTTGAATTGTTCCCAATATAATTTTCACACCGGTTATAATAAAGCTAGATAATTATGATTCCAAATTATTAAACTGCTTTCTAAAGTATTTTTGTGACCTGTTGATTTGTTCCTTTTGTTGTTAATAGACATGGTTTCAATTGAACTAAAATCTTAACTTTATTCAAAGGACACTGAATATGATGGTTTTCCATATATTCACATGTTTAACAGTTTAACATTTATTTCAACCTAAATTCCAAGTATCTTCATTAGAAACAATAATCTTTATAAGAATCAGTAGTGTATAAAAAGAGTTCACTATGGAAAAATTTAGAAAATATAGATATAATTTAGAATATTTTTGAAGTGCAAAATGGGATTTAAATATATTAGGTGTCCACTACACTTATTTACAGGTGTATTTGGATATGATTCCATATCATTCCTTCAATATTATCCATGATATATCTTAAAATCTTCATTAGAATCAAGTGTAAATTTCTTAGGTACATACATAGTGTCTTATTCACATTTCTTTTTAGTGCCCAAGCAAAACCTATGACCCACTGGTTAAATCCACCCGAGATTTCCCAGATGATGTCATCAGTTTCATAAAGCGGCACCCTGTGATGTACAAGGCAGTATACCCGGTTGCAGGAGGACCAACTTTCAAACGAATCAATGTGGATTACAGACTGACTCAGATAGTGGTGGATCATGTCGTTGCAGAAGATGGTCAATATGATGTAATGTTTCTTGGAACAGGTGAGTTCAAACTAGACTAAGCTTTCTTTCAAAGGAATTTTTCATTGTCTGATAAAGAAAGCAAAACCTTCGAAATTATTTATTGGTCAAAATAAAAATGAATAATTATTAGACCATACCTTGTCAGTGTTTCTTAAAATTATTTAACACATGCTTTTAACTGACACTATAAACATCTGCTGTCCTATTTAAGATTAAAAAATATATTTGTATCTTGTGGTTGCAATGGGCCTAGTATAGATTAGGTGCTCAAGACATATTTGTTGAATGACCATGGACTAAAATTAAATTAATAGAGCAAAGCAATTTATTTTCCAACTTTACCTTTCCCTCTCTCACCAGGGTATCTGATAAGCTCTACCCCAAGGACTCTCAGTTTGAGAACTACTGGCTTAGTTGACTTAATATGGCTTTTTAAAAACATTAATCATTATTTTGTAAAGACTTTAAGCAGAAATTTCTTAGAGATTATTTTTTCTGTTCTTGAATTTTGTAGATTAAAATAAATTTTGTGGTCTCTCATTCTTGAAGGTCATCTTATTTATTTGTTTTGCTAACTCAGTAATTACAAAATGAGTTAAATGTATTGTTTGCAGAAGAAGACACTACATTTTTGGTGAGTCTCCAAAATAGGAAAAATTATTATCTAATAATACTTTTCTATTGTGAATTCTAATGGCAGTAATGATAATATGTATCATTAAAGTAAAAATGTTGCATTTTAGACACTATGTTATCTAATAGATTGAGCATTTCATAAAGAAATAGAAATTAATAGGTTTTTTGATAAACAGACATCTTTATTGGAACAGTTTTTTAAGTGTGTAAAACAATTTTAGAATTATTTGTTTTTTAAAACCAAATTKGTTTTGTAGAAGTTAGGTTTCTTAGGAAGCATTTGTGTGATAAATTATTAAAGTGCTTTCTAAGGTATTTTGTGACCTGTTGATTTGTTCCTTTTTGTTTTTAATAAACATGGTTTCAGTTGAACTGAAATCTTAACTTCAAGCACAATTGTCAAACATGATCATGTTACAGATAGCAATTTTAAGATCCATATAAATAAGGAGTGTTCTCAAGACTGAAGAGATGGCTGTTTAAGGGGTCAGAACTTGAAATAATGAGTCTGTTATTACTTCTCATGAGTTTGACATTTAATTTGCTCTGTTCATCCAAAGCTCATTCCTAGCTTTTAAACAGTTTATTGTCATAAACATCATTCAGCCACTAGGTGGTACTACCTAACTTTAACTAAAATTATGGCAATGTTAAAGTAGTCAATTTGACACTTAAAGTGTATAGTTAATATATTTCAAAGATTTCATAGTCATTGACAAACAATATGAAATATTATAGGCTATTTGTGCATATAGTAACATTATTACATATGCCCCTGTACTTCAATGCCTGCGCTCAGTTTAATGACATTTGTTTTATATAAATTAATTAAAGTGGTATTTTTTTTCTTTTTCTAAAGTAGTCTTTTGAATCTCTCTCTATACTAGCATACCACCACATAGAACTGCAATATAAGATGATGTACTTAAGATATCTTTTCTAAACATCAGATTTCGTTTTACATTGTTAGTTTTGTATTGTCTCTTAAGTTGAATTAAAATAATTGAAAATAAAACTTTAGTTTTTGCCATATTAACAATGGTTACAAAGGTAGAATATATTTGAAGAGATGTAGTATCCCTCATGTAGACTGTATATAATAGGTATTCAGTAAATATTTATTGCAGAGATCACTATGTAGAAGTAAAACTAGTTTTTTTAATGTACTTTAGAATCTTAAGATCTAAAATATGTGTTTCATCTCTGTTATCATTTTAAGCAATGCTTAAATTAGGCACATATATTTCTTTTGTTAAGAATGTGCACTAAAATGTCAGGTGTGGTGGCTCATGCCTGTAATCCCAGTGATTCTGGAGGCTGGGATTATTTGTATATTATTTGTAATTATTTTATATAATTCATTWAAAAAAAGTTATGAAACAAACTTTCTTGCTTAACATTTTTATTTTATGAATTTTCTTAAATCTTTGACATCTGCTACTATTTGTCAATTACTAAATATAGACAGGTAATAAATGAATAAAGAATATAGATAATAGATAAACTATTTTTAATACTTTTTTTCTTTTGATAGCTTTTATGTTCAAGGAACATCACAAATTCAAAGCCAACCTCAGCAATTTAGGGAGGCCCTAAACAACTTAGTAAGATCCCATCTCAAAATGAAAAAAAAAAAAGGGCTGGTGATGTGGCTCAGTTCAATCCATAATACAAAAAAAAAAAAAAAAAGAAAGAAAAATAAAAAATATGAACTGATATATATAATTTAATAATCTGCTTATAAGATTCTGTTCTTTTAGCTAAAAGCTATCATGTTTCTTAAGGGCAAAACAATATACATTAGCCTTCATGTTTAATCTGATTTCTTGAAAAACATTTAAAGAAAAGTGAGACAAGCAATTTGATGGTTTCTAGGAATATACTTAATATTGAAATAGAAACGGCAGGATTATAAATTATGTATTTTTTCAGACATTGGAACTGTCCTAAAAGTTGTCAGCATTTCAAAGGAGAAGTGGAATATGGAAGAGGTGGTACTGGAGGAGTTGCAGATATTTAAGGTAAGGCTTAGTCCAGAGTTGCAGGGGGAAAAGAGGGTGAAACTGCATACTCCTTGCTACAGGGCACTCTTTAATACATCATCACTTTTGCTGGAAAGTCTTTGAAATCAGTTTCCTTCTTTTTCTTTTCCCTAAGCATTGAAAATAGTTTTATAAGAAACTAAGAATGGGCCTTACCTTCCTCTGTAGAATACCACTGATTGAGAGCTCCTGGGATTGCCTCTCATTACTGCATTCTCTAAGCATATAGTCAGACAAATTGCCACATTAAATGAAAGCCTGGGGTCTCTTTTACTATCCAGATGCTTTTCTACTTTATAAATTTCACGTTGCAATTTTTCCCCAATTGAATTTGAGAAAACTGGAAGAGAATATAAATCATATATCCCTGCTTTTCTGTAAGGAAAATTTTTWAAATATGTTACATGATAGTAAGTCTTCCTGTATGCCAAAGTCCTGACCCCCTCCCCAACCCTCATAATTAGTAGATCTAGAAGAATTCTCCAGGTTATGTGAATGTCTTTGACTTTTAACAGTGCAATTGAATTGTGACATTCTTTGTACAGCCTCAATAAAGTTTAAGTTAAAAGTATTTCCTGAAAATACCATTAGAAATAAAATTGTATTTCTTGGAAATGCTTTTTAAAAATATTCTGGATTTTTTATAACATTTTTGTTCAAAAAAACTTCCTTAAAAACTGTTTCCCTGTAAACATCTATGACTTTAAAGGGGAGAAGAGCCCTCCACTAAGAGGGGCTCAAGTTAATTAACATGCTGGGTTCCACAGATCCTGTTTACATTGTGATGATAATAGTGGTCAAGAAGTTAACAAGAACAAGACCTGCTATCTGGCCTCTACCAAAACAAAATCTTGGGTGGTTCCTAAGGGAAAGGCTGATGTCAAATATAAGGGTGAACCCAGAGGCCTAAATAAAGTCCCTACAATACACAAGCATATCAGAACACATTTATTCACAGAACACAGTGGCTGTTAGACACTAGTCAAGAGGAATTCTTTGGTTTCACTGTGAAGATTAAACAATGCCATGTTTGTTCTCTCTCTCTCTCTCTCTCTCTCTCTCTCTCTCTCACTTTATTCCCCCTCTTTTTAAAAAAACATGTTTATTGAGGTATAATTTATGTTAAAAATATATATAATTAATATACATCATTTAATGACTTTGTCCACGTTGTATAATTCATTTAAAAAAAGTTATGAAACAAAYTTTCTTAACATTTTTATTTTATGAATTTTCTTAAATCTTTGACATCTGCTACTATTTGTCAACTAGTAAATACAGACAGGTAATAAATGAAATAAATAGAATATAGATAATAGGTAAACTATTTTTAATACTTTTTTTCATTTGATAGCTTTTATGTTCAAGTTTCTGATTCTACTTTGCATGCATACAACCGTATTCTCTACATATGAAACAGTCTCTAGTTCATATCATGAAATTGTGTGCATTGACATCTCATAATGTTACATAAAGAATATGGCCATCTATAAGGAGTACTGTAGCTTTTCAGAACTCTGCTACTTGAACAAGTGTTTGAATGACTGATCTAAGTAAGAGCAGAAAGAGGTAATAAATAATTATGGAGATGTTCTTGTCAACACTAGTTTGAATTATATGGAAACAGTTAAGATAAGCAGATTTAAAAGAAGTAGAAAACTTGTAACTGGGAACAATTTTCAGTACAGAAGTCTTCTTCATAAATTTAGTTTGTTTTTCTTTAAGAAGATACTTTAAAATAACTACTTTCCTCATTTCTGTTAAGGTAGATTCACTACACATTGGAAAAAGATAGCAAACAGAATCCAGACTTTGACTTCAGTAATATATATATATATATATATATATATATATAGAGAGAGAGAGAGAGAGAGAATAAAACAATATATTGACTAATATAAAATCATGTTATGGCTATCTTTATTGATGTTTACTTTCTATTTTCAGCACCCATCAATCATCTTGAGCATGGAGTTATCTTTAAAGCAGGTACTTTCTATTTTTGGTATAAAAAATATTTTAAAAAGTAATAAGTTGCGTGAATGAATGTTGATTTGAAGAATACATTGGAATAGGAAGTTAAACTGCAGATAATTTAAAAGTTTCAGGTTATTAGTTTCTCAAACTATTGATTTGAAACCCTTGTTCCAACCTTGCCTTGGAAGAATAGAGACAAAGTTCACTTATTGAACTATATTTTATATTCTACATTCTCCCCTTCCTTTTGGCTCTTAAAAATTGAGCTCAGTTTTCTGGTGTCTTTCTGTCAAGTTCATAAGAAATATATGCAAAATGTTAGTTCTAACCATTAAAAAAGATTTTTAATTAGGGAGTGTAGGAGGTAGAATATGGACTGTAGTGGCAAATAGCCCAACAGTCAACTTTCATCACACTACTCAATATCTATCACTCAGATTCAATTTCCTCAACAGCAAAGTTGAGAAACCTTCTATGTTAGTTGTGAGTTTAAATAGGATGCTGTAGGCTAATGTTTTAAACAGAGTAGCACATTGTAAGTGTAGACTTAATAGTAGCTATATATAATAATGATAATAATATAATGTAATTTCATAGCTCCCTGGTATGATATTTAAAATCCCAATTCATTTACAATTCAGACTTGCATTACCATTTCTATATGTACCCTCAAGATTTAAGAAAATCATATGATAACATGCTCAACATTAAGATGTTGCTAAAATTGTCTTAGTATACTCTGCCTAGTATGGCCAAGCAATTATTAGGGCAAGGTATAAATAGGTTTGTTCTTCAGATCTTTTCCATGAATTTGTTCATTCATTCAACCTTTATTTCTTGAAGGCCTAAAAGTGTGCTATAAGAGTACAGAAATCAATAAATGACATAACATAACTTCTGGAAGTTCATTGTAGAAACAAAGATGCATGCTAAGATCACTGAGTAATAATGGAAAAATATACATAGAAGGTAGCCTGAAATGAGCCAGAATGAGCAAGGGAAGATATCAAATAGACATGTGACCTGAGCCATAAAGGATATTGTATTAACCAGAAAAAATAAGAAAGGTGATGGGATAAAGGAGAATACCCCAAATAGAAAGGGAGAACATTTGTAAAGATGTGAAAAATAAGAGCCCATAGTTAATTCTAGTAAGTTTATGTACAAGTAGAGCAAGGACATGTGTGTTCAAGGGGGAAGGAGGCTAGAAATGAATCTCAGTAAGCCAGGGTAAGATTAGGCACATGCTACATGTCCTCCCAAGATGGTCAACAATTTATCTTAAGGATGTGAAATCCATTAAAGATTTTAAGCAGGAGGGTGTCATGATAAGATTTTCTGTTTTAGAAGGATCAGTCTGGTGTGACAGTGTGAAAGATGGATTGGGTCCTATGATAGAAGTGGGAGTTGCTGGAAAAGAAGGCAGAAGTCAGCAGAATTAGTTAGGACACTTAAAAGTAATCCAGGAGAGAAATGATAAGGACCAATGCAAAGGCAGTGGTAGTAGAAAGGGAGAGGGAGAGGAGGAAGCAGATTAGAGGTTTCTATATGAGGGCATGGAAATGACCTGGTGACAGATGGTGTAAGAATGAAATCTTAAAGACAACTCCCAGGTTTCTGTCTTGCATGCCTGGATGAGTGATGGTGTCTCTTGCCAAGGAAGGGCAGGTGGGTAGCTTTTGGAGAACTGCTATACTCTTGATTTGGCTGTTTTCAAGATACCTTTGAGTTTCCCAYTAAAGAGGACATGAGAACAGAAAAGAAAGAAATTTGACATTTAATTCAAAGGAAGGAATCACAGAGGAGACAAATGTCTTAGGCAGAAATAAAGAGGAAGTATAGGAAAAAGTGCTGAAGAGAGTTTTGAGGAAGGTATGGTCACTGGTCTAAAATACTGAAGAGAATTTAAGTAAAATTGATAGTAATGCCTGGCCAGTGCATTTAGTAACAAGAAAGGTTTAACTGAGAGCTTAATGAGCAGTAAATATGTAAGACACATTACTGATTGTGTGTGTTACTTATGTTAAGATCTATTTATAAGGGGTTTTCCCCTCTACTTAAAACCTGGAATGGTCCACTAGAGTTCACCATGAGTTCATTGACTGTATAGAGTCTGTGTGGAATTCCCCTCTCTCCCCTTCCACTACCACCACTGCAGACACTCTAATAAGTATACATGGTGAATGGTGCATCAATTTCAGGACTAATTTTCAAAAATATGAATTTATTTGCTTTTTTTTCCAGTATCTTACACTTTCATTTGTGATGTGGCATCTCTCAGCCTGCTTAGTACTTTCTTTATACTGATACTAAATAACTTAGTTGCTCTCAGAGATCAATACTTCATCAGCAAATGAAATCATTTAAAAATGGAATGAAGTTTTATTAATCTCTTCAGTCATCTCTCATGTAAGGAACCGTGACAGAGAAAGTCCATCAGTTTTGCCTATAGCATCTGTGCTTGATATAAACTACCAATTTCTACTATTGAGAATTTGACATCTTAATTCCTCAGTCTAGCAGCTGTTTCTTGAACTTCTTAAATTACTGCCAAGCTTACTCTAGCTTTATAGAACACTGTGCAATACAGTATCAGCATCTTCAAACCACAGTCCCACCACGGATAGAAGTAATTGACTTGTTTTACTCTTCATTACATTTCTGCGAAAGTGTTTACAATGGTCAGGACACCCGGGGAAACAGATTTAGTGTTATTATGTGGTGTTCAAGAAGGGGAAGTTCATAAGACTCATCTGAAAGATGCTTATAATTCATTTGTTTTGCCTGATTTGCAGCAACAATTGTACATTGGTTCCCGGGATGGATTGGTTCAGCTCTCCTTGCACAGATGTGACACTTATGGGAAAGCCTGTGCAGACTGCTGTCTTGCCAGAGACCCCTACTGTGCCTGGGATGGAAATGCATGCTCTCGATATGCACCCACTTCAAAGAGGTAAGTTATTAGGAAGCTTCCTTTTCTATAAGATTAATATCTCATATAAATGCCTTGTCTTATAGTTTAAAGAGAACGATGGGGAAAACTTAGTTTCTGGAAGGAATATTAAAATTATAATATAGTTTCATAGTTTTACATAATACTGAACTATGAAGGAGGATACAACAGATGTTCTGGAATTCTGAAATGTGAAACTATTAAAAAATCCAACACATTTTTTATATTCTTTTATTTATGTCAAACACCACTAAAAGTTCTTTTATTCACTACTTTCCTTTTTCTGTCTCTCCCACCTTATTTCTAAATTTGCTCACACTCATACCTATTGTTTTGCAAATAATTTGCACATATTATTATAGCTCACAGTGCATCTAATAGCTTGGTAAAATTTTATTTTTATTCTAATAACCTTAATTTGGTCAATTTCTTTCATCATATGTACTTGAACTGCAAATTGTTTCCCTGCTGTGTGTAGTTCATTGTTTTAAGTATTCTTAGAAATAATGCTATTTTGAGCCAAGAATAAAAATTTGTACTATTCATTCATGTGCAGAAAGACCACAAAGTTACAAGATATTCATTTCAGCACTGTTGACTTGCAAAATAACTGGGAAAACCCTGAATGCCTATTAATATGCCTGACATTATCTAACTATACTATTATAATTAGTTTTAGATGCAGACTAAATAACACTATTTGCTAAAGCATTGTTAAAAGTGCATTTCGTCTATGTAAAACAACAACACATTGTGGTATTATTTTGTTGCTATTTTTTAGGCTTTTTTTTTTCATGCACACACATGAATCTTATTACCACTTTTTTGCTTTGTTTAAATTTGCCTGATTGGTCAAATTCTAAACTCTAGGCAACACAGGTTGAATGTATATTACAATGGCAAATATTGCTTAAAGTTAAGACACATTTTATATTCTCTTCAATTCCTGAAATAAATGTCAGTGGGTAGACATGATTATTAAAAGTTAAAAGTGAGTAGTCACCAACATTTTGCTATAGTTTTTGGCAAAGGTTGTACTCATCACAGTGAGTCTTTGGGGAATTCTTTTCTGGAAGCTAAAAAACCAGAATGCTCATTAGCTGGCAGTAAAACTTCAGTTTGATTAATTGACCCTGTTCCTTAAGAAGCCAAGATTTAAAAACATTCTTGACCTTATGTACCTTATACTACCATAATTTTTTTCTTTTTATATTTCCCAAGACTGTGTCTCTGATCTTAAAGACATGCCACTGTGATGTTTTCCCTTACCTAGTATAATGTCTGTGAGAGTCTAAAGATGTATATGAGGGATTAATCTTACAAGGTTGTCATTGACCAGTACTGCCCTTGAGGAACACCTTAGTTATCCAAGAAAGTTTGTTGTTACTTCTCTACAACAAAGACTGTGGGGAGTGGACCAGAGGGAGGAACAGAGGGAGGTTGATCAATGGGTACTAAGTTACACTCAGACAGGAGCAAGAAGTCCCTGTGGGCTACTGCACAGTAGGATGAATATAGATAATAATAATAGACTTTACATTTCAAAATGCTAAAGGAAAGTATTTTGAATATTTTACCATAAAGAAGTGATAAATATTGCAGGAGATAGATACATTTAAACTGATCTAAACATTATACAACATATATATATATATATATATATAAGTTTTATACATATATATGTGTGTATGTGTCATGTGACACTCCATTAATTCTATAATCTTCATGTTTTGTTTCAGTTATATTAAAGTTTATTTAAAGGAAAAACAAATACCCAAAGCAAATTAAAATATATTGTAAGAGTTTAAGGCATACTTTASATATAGCAATTTTTTTTTCTTTTTATATATGATGATTACTATTTTGTCTTAAGGAAAATATGTGACCTAATGCAAAAGCCATTGTGTTCATATTATTAGTGACACTAGAAAAAACATGTGAGCTACATGTTCCTACATAGAAATAAAACATAACAATCCATGCCACATCAAACATGTACCTATTTCAGACACCATCTTTCTATATAGTGAATCTATCCATGATAAAGTGCTTTGTATTAGTGTATACACTTCTACATACTAATTAAAACTCTTATATATTACTTTTCCCAGAACTGAGAGAAAAGAGAGTGAGAATAGTTACCACATATTATAAACATGGATTCTATGTATGTTCAACCCATTCTGTCCAATCATTTTTCAAGTCATAGAAAAAGAATAGTAGTTAAATAAAATTCAGACCATCCTAATGCAAAACACTATCTATTCTATTAGGCATTTACTATACTAGTAGTATCTAAATCAATGTTAGGTTGACTGGAGTATTGAACTGCATTTTAAATTGAGCAATAAAATAAGGATAGTTATGCATCTGCTGCTATTAGTGTTAAGTGTAGCCTTTCTATATTCTGATTATAATGCTTGGAGTTCTCATCACTCCAATCCTCTTTTCATAGGCGAGCTAGACGTCAGGATGTAAAGTATGGGGACCCAATCACCCAGTGCTGGGACATAGAAGAAAGTAAGTATTGGTTTAATATGCTTTTGCTCCCAATTAAAATGATAAGTCCAGGCTTTGTATATCTTTTTAATTACATGACTCCAAACAACTATTATATTAAGATCTCATTTTGTGTAGTGCTTATATTCTGGAAAAGCAACAGGAGATTTTATAAATCAACCCCTGTCTACAAGCCTAAGTGAATAATCTTTTGTTATATCATGATTTGTTTCATATGTCTTTTAAAATTCCTATACTTTAGCTTTTGTTTCTTTTCTTACTCTCTTATCCGTCCTTGTAAAGTTTGAAAACTGCTTTTTAGAGATAAAGCAGGATATAGCCCAAAACATTTGGACATATAGAGTAAACTCAAAAGAAACCTCTCAGGAAAGTGTGTCAAAGTATAGGCACATATTAGAAAGACGTTTTAGGTAGCCTATACTTTATTTGTACTCAGCTATTAATAAATATATTCATGATTGTTCTGAATATACTAGGAGACAAGGAATGCCTTAAAGGGCTTAGGATTCCTTGGGGAAATAAGATGATCAAGGCTCAATGGGAATTTAGCAAAAAAAAAAAAAAAAAAAAAGGTATCACCAGAGGCTGAATGGTTCAGAAACACAAAAATCATAGAATGGAAGATCTTGAAAGAATGAGTGGGAAAGAAGCAGGATGGGGAGTAGAGAGGAAGTCTGGTGAGTGAGTCTAAAAACAGAGGGACCTCTAAAAGTAGATATCCCATAGTTTTACTCTACCTTCAGGTAGAACACAGAAGCATGCACACCCGCAAATGCACACATGCAACTAGTGGGAAAAAAAAAAACAATTTCCTTTATCACATTGTTACTAATCATCCCACCAGTGATGAAAATAACTCAGTTTTCATATTTTATAACTGGGAACCCAGCAATGTTTTCTTGTTTTAAAAGCAAGGCAGTCATTTTTAACTCAGAATTCTGAAAAATAAGTTCAGGAGTAGCACAGTGTGTTTGCCTTCTCATTCTAACAATGTAAGAGACTCACTGTCATGTCCAGTGTTGTGTTTAGTAATCACTACTGTGTGTCTTCCATATGCACATCAGGGACTGTGGTAGGTGTGGAGGACATACAAATGAGTAAGAAGGAAGCAATCTATGTATTCATAGAATTTATATTTAGGTGCATTAGGGAAGAAAGCAAACAATAAATATAAACAGACAATAAAAATAAAAACAGGTAAAAATGCTGTGTTATTTGATGATAAATGTTATAAATAAAACAACATAAAGCACACAGTTTTCCCCTAAGGCTCAGAGTTATTGTCTCTCCTTGCCATATTGCATTCTTGCTATAACCCATAGTGCCCAGTTTTTTGCATTTATTATTGTCACTTTGCTCAATCCATTCTTGTTAAAGTCACCAGCAGTTTCCTTCTTGCCAAATTCAATGGCAAATTTTTAATTCTCATATTTATTTAACATCTAACTCCCTCTTCCTTGAAACACCTTCTCCCCTTAACTTCCTTGTAGTGGTATGCTGTAGCCTTATGAAACCTGTTGCTTATTACTTTGTTATTTTGTGAGCTGGTTTTAAACCACTGGTAGCTGCAGTCAGCTACAGTGGGGGTATTTACACTAGAAAAATCAGAAAACACTATCAAGCCTTTCTCTTTTCAGAGAGGAGGTATACTTGCACACTTAAGCTTTTATGGTACTACATCCTTCTGGTTTATCTGTTACCTTGCAGACTGCACCTTCTGTGTACTCTCAACCTTTCTTTTCATTTGCAACAAGTTTTCCAGTGACCCAAACCACTTTTTCAATCTCCATCTGTTCTTTCCCCTAATATCATCACTTTAGTACTATCAGAAGCTATTTGACTCCTAAAATCATAGTCCAGTTTAAGCTCGTCCCTGATGGCAGCCTGGAATGCTTGCATGCCTACTTAATAGATCCTTCTGAATGCGTAGTTAACATCTCCAACATATGTCTAAGAATTCTTGCTATCTTCTCCAAAGCTGTATTTCTGCACTTTCCTATATTAATAAATAGCACTTCCATTCATCCAGCTGCTTAGGTCAAAAAGCAGCTCAGAGTCACATCTTTATTCTTTTCTTTCTTTCATATCCTACCATCAACTTTTCAATAAGTCCTTTTCCTCATCTTCACTGATATCTCGATTCCTCTTCTGTAGCCTGTTTTCTGGTCTCCCGCTTCCATGCTTGCTCTGCTTCAGTCTACATCTTACTCTGTAACCAGAGTAGTCTTTTCAAAACTTCAGTCAGATCACATCATTACCTTACTAACAATGTTTCATTAGCTTCTTAGAACAAGTAGTACAAATCCACAGTCTTTACCATGGCATGTGAGAAACTGTTTCACCTGGTCCCAACACCTTCTTGACCCTCTCTCATATACTGTTGCATAGTCCCCTCACTGGCTTTCTCTTTTTCAAGAGCACCAATCTGTTTCCTGCCTCAGAGCTGTTTGTATTTGTTGTCCCCTGTGTTTCCCCTCAGAAGTTCACATAGCTCCACTTTCATATCATGCAATTTTATGCCTCAATGTTAATCCCTCAGAGACCTTTCCTGATCTTGCCATCAGAAATACTTTTCTTCTTTCTACTTACAATTGCCTAATCTACTTTTTCTTTTTCTTTTCTTTCTTTTCCTTTTTTTCTTGTAGCAGATAATACCACATACTGTATACTTTCTTCATTTACTTGGTTATTTTGTCTGTGTCACTAGAATATATGTTTCTTAAGGTCAGAGATTTCGCCTGCCATATTTACCCAGGCACCTAAAATAATCCTAGTATGTTGGACACCTAAGACTGTTTGCATAATGGATGGGTAAAGGAAAGCCTACTCAGATGGGTAGCATTTGAAGTATGCTTTAAAGACAAAACTAAATTTTACAAAATAATAGTAATTAAAACCAGATAAAGCCTGGAATGGTGGTACCTGCCTGTGATCCCAGGATACTAGAGCCTATGGCAGGAGGATCATAAGTTCAAGGCCAGTCTTGGCATTTTACTGAAACTCTGTCTCAAAATTAAAAATAAAATAAAATTTTAAAAGGGTCTGGGCATGTAGCTCAATGGTAAAGCACAAGTGGATTCAATTCCAGTACTAGAAACATAACAAAACAAAAACAGAAAGACCTCATATAGGTTGGGTTACATTTGTGGCAGTCTCATGTTATTCCATGAAATTTATGTTTACTTTCCAAGTGATGAGYTATTTCATATTTCTCAGAAAAGATTTTTAATTAAATTAATTATCTCCTTATGGATAATTGATTAGACTAGGAGGAGCTAGAGGCTGAGAGTCAATTTTGGGAGTTAAATAATTTCTTTGAGAATACCTACAACTAAAGCAGTTACAGTCTTAATGTAGAGAAAAGGGCAAATTTAGACACTAACTTGTAGAAAAGAAGAAAAGAGATGATTTGAGTCTAAACCACCATAAATGCTTGTAGTACTTTCTAGGTAATCATTTCTCGAATAATTGACAAAAAGATGTATTCTTTGTTCCTTCTTTCTTTTCTTTTTTTAAATTAACTAATTGCTAAATGTTATGATATAGTGTGATTACTAATGATATAAAATCAATACATGTAGATTAGCTATGTTTGACAATGGAAACCAGACCAAATCTTGTACCTCAATGCCATATATTTAATATAAAGAAATATTCCAGCCACTTACTGTGAAAAACAATTTTTGACATTAATGTGGAAATTGAAATGCCCCATTCCAAATTATATTACACTTAATAAAGAAGATAGTACATTTTAAAATACTATTCTATAAGACTTTTACATGTTTACAGGTTAGATCATAATAGGATTTTCATATTTATATATATAATTACACACACACATATATATGCATTTAAATATACATATACTATTTGAAACTTAAAAATTGGAACTTTAAAAATGAAAAATGAGACAAGCATTATAGGAACAACAATAAATTTATTTTTAATCAAACAAATGTTTTGGTGACTATGTTATAGGTATGTTTTTTTTTTTCTGATTTGAAAAAAAAAGATTTCAGACTATTTGTTTACTATTTCAGTTTTTCAGTATATTTTACTAATTTTTCCTTTACTGAATTGACCAGTTCTTTGCTTGAGTCAGTCTGAGTTTCTTCTGATTGCTTGCCTCATAACCTGACAGTCAACATGCAGTACCCTCTGCTTTGTTGACAAATTCTCTTTCTCAGGATCTATTATTATGAAGTGGTTSATGTCTTTCTCTCCCATCAATGGCACTTGTGATCTTCTGTGCATTAGGATTTTATTAACTGTGAAAATTGCAGATATAATCTTCTGAAATGCTGGAGACAGTTGATGAGTTAGAAATTTTAAATAGAATCCAAGCATTGTGAAGGTTAGATAAGGTTAATTCAAAAGTTGTTAATGTACTTGACTTAATCATTGTAGGTAAAATACAAATATATTCAAAAGAAGTTTCTTAAAAACAAGTCATGGGATGGATGTGCATGCATGCCATTGCTGAGAATTTTGTGTGCTTTTCTTTAGGATTACCATTGGTCCCTCAAACCATAGTCCTTGGTTAATGTCTAACTTGCTAAAGTAGGACCATTTGGAGAATGGAGATATTTAAATGTGTGATAAAAAAATGTCTGTTTGGGCCAAGCTGAGCAGCTATCATTTTTTATTTGATTTAAGCTACAGATCTTCAATTTCACAAGGGACACAGACTTTGGCTATTCTGGATGAAATGTATTTCAGATGGTGCAGTTGATTTACAAAAATAAGTTGTCTGAGATGCTGCTTCTTAGCATCCCATTAACTATCTCATAGCAAATGCATGTCAGGCTAAAGAATCTCTGAAAAAAAAATATGGTAGAAAATGCAAATAAGGCCCAGATTGTGAGTCTTAGATTATGTGCAGTATTCTAATCACAGAATTTCATCAAATATCACTGTACTAATTTTTCTGACATCAAAATTTCCAAATGTTATCTGGTCATCTCTGTGGACCCATTCAATTAGAATTTCTCTTAAAAGTACAGTAAATAGCAGAAGTAACTACATAATTAGTTATATTTTATATAAAAATGTTAGAACATTAAAATGTGCTAAAGATTATATTTAGAGAAAAAGTATATTTAKAATTAAATCTTGTGAATTGTTTTTAAAAAACCAACCAAAACTGCAAATTGTTAATATAGTGATGAAATAGTAAAAATTACAATACAAATGTAGAGTTTTAAAAAATCAATCTATTGGATAATATTTGACTTGAAGGTAATAATATTATAGGATGAATTTCCTTTCTGTTTAATAATGTGCATGATTCTTTCCTGATGGCATCTGTTCTGAATCATTCTATTTTCCCATTGCTTTTACAATCAGGTCAAGATTAATCTTTTATTCCATGTTTGTTTCCTAGGCATTAGTCATGAAACTGCTGATGAAAAAGTGATTTTTGGCATTGAATTTAATTCAACCTTTCTGGAATGTATACCTAAATCCCAACAAGCATCTATTAAGTGGTATATCCAGCGGACAGGAGATGAACAACGAGAGGAGGTGAGTTATCATCATCAGAGAATGCTAACCTTCAGGAAAATAGTATAAAGTTTAAATTGAGTTTTGGCTATGAGATATATTCAACTTTTAGTGCCATATGATCTCTAATCACTATTTGATAAAGGGGAAAAAGACAGTTTGTGCTAACACCAAAGGGTGACAATAGCTTTGAGAATCAGGCAATTTAATGCATTATTAAATTGGACAATTTAATACAAATACACTAGTCAAATTTAATACAAATACACTAGTCAAATATATTTAAAAGTAGAGTGAATTTTTAAAATAAATTTATATTAATTTTAAAAATTATTATTTCATAAAGATTTTGACAACTCCACGAATAAGGCAATCTTCTTTCTCTCTGTAGTAGCATATTAAATTTTAAATCACATTGTATTCAATTTAGATTACAAAATGAATTTTATGTCAAATTTGTATGAAAATACAAATATCTATTTTTATCATATGATAAAATTTATTGGATAAGTATTTGGACATATACCTTCTCACTTTCATGTATTAAAATTAAATCAACAGAGGGAAATRTAATATGGCTACTCTAATTTTTGCCATTCTTTCTGCTAATTTTCCTAATATATAAATGTGATTGAAATATTTCATGGGGATTTTGTAACATGGATAGGTTTTGTGTATTATGGAACTTAATATTATTATTTGGGTAACTTAGGAAATCATGAACTGTTGTTATTTGATTGACATATAACAATGGTTAATTGGCAGAATTGTTTGYCATTGTTGATTATTACTACAGTGGCAGAAAGAAAGCAGTGATGCTCAGACCAGAATTCTAGAACTCTCAATATTAAACTGAGGCTGCTGTAATGAATAATAGATTGAGTGCAGGATTCTGGATAGATGTCTTGATTTGCAACATGAACCTGATGTGTTGATATAATTGAGCCTCTGAGGCCAGAATTTTCCTAAAGGAACAAAATAACTTTAAAAATTACTGTGAAAAGCAAACAAGATAACACATATGACAAAGTAGAATTTCAAAGCAGAGTTCTTATAAGTATACAATAATATCACATATACTATCTATCAATAACAATATGTGGGATAAGAAATAATACTGATCACATGCTTAGAAAATTATGACCCTCCTATTGGTTTGACTGCCTAGGATTTCTGAGCAGGCTGCCACTTTCTCAACCTCTTTGTTAAATTTACTATCACTAAGAATAGCAAATGTAAGTAATCAAACATTAGTAGAGGACAGTAGATCTCAATCTCAGGCAATTTTGCTCTGAGAAGACTGATGTTTGGCAGGTTCCTGGGACATTTTTGGTCATTGAAACTAAGTGGGTGGGTGGTAAGTGGGTGCTTCTGGTATCTAGTCTGTAGAGSTCAGAGATAATACACAGAACTTCAGGTAATACACAGAACTTCAATGCACAATTACCCGCAAGAGAGAATTATCTGACATCAAATGTCAATACTGCTGAGATTTAAAAACTTTGGAGTAGCAAGGTCAAATTTTGTAATAAGAAATTGATTTAATGATATAATTCTTCTGTTACATGAAAACAAATATCTTTACCTAAGATCTACAAGGATAATTTTTCTATCAAAATGTTGATTCTATGTACTTAATACCATACCAAGGGAATAACTCCATTCTTTATTATGTCACAGTTATCCAATAAAACTCAATTGTTCATCATTACTGACATTCATAAATTATAAGATTATGCAGAACCATATTTACACTAAACATGTGTCTTAAAAATTCTCATTTTTACCTATATATTGGAACATTATCTGATATAGAATTTAATTATTTAATTTCAAAATAGAAGGTTTTTACTTTTTATCCAAGAAATATTGGAAGAATGTTATCTGTATTTTTAAGATGCAGATTGCTTATAGTTACATTGAAATATTTTAATATTAAGTTTAATAAGCCAGTAATTTTAATTTTATAGCTCATAAATTTGATGATTTTCTTTTGGTTAAAAATAACTCTTCAAACAGTGATTTTTTTTCCTCCATAGCAAATGTAATCTGTTGTGTATCTTCCAAATGCAGATAACTACATTTGTCTGTGCTTGTTTGCATTCACATCTTTCATTTTCCTGAAAATGCTATGCATTACTTTAATGTACCTTTTAACAGTATACCATATAGTCATGATGTACCATGCTCCATGAATTTCAATGGAGCAGAAATAGAGTATTTATTGAATCTTACTTAAAAGTATCTTAGCTGTAATGTTTGGACTGTTTTTGTCTGTCTTTGTAAATGGCCAGTTTCACATAGTCCAGGATATGCAATTCTGCTTCCTGAGCTAGGAAAAGGGCAACATTCAGACTGCATGAAGCACTTTTCCCAGCAGGATACCTTCTGTTCCTTACCCATAAGGTCACAGTTTGGAATCTTTCCTCCACTCAAAAAAGCCTGAGGGACAGACCATGATCTCCTGTGGTACAGAGGCTGTCACCAGGTTATTCTCTGCCAGGAGGAGAACATTTCCTTACTGAGTTGTGTCACAGTTGGGTGCTGTTGGRGAGGTCATGAGTCAGTTATCTGCTGACTTTCTTATAAAGCTGTTCTTGAAATTGATGATGTTTATGCTATAACTAAGCAAGTTAATAGGCAGTCCCCAAGCTTCTGTTGAACTTTGGGGATGTTAATGAATAAAGGAGGCAATATTTCATGCCATTTACCATACTGCATTTTCTCTGTGGATTTTCCCATTTTTCAAACGTCTTCAAATATTTTCATTTCTCTGTTCCCAGGTATTTATTTTATTTTTGTTCTTTTTATCATAAAAGCAATGTAAATGGCTTTAAAATTGCATAACACATGAAGAACTAGGATGCCACTAAGTGTAGATAAGCAGAGTAATATTTTAGTGTCTGTTTCACTACAGTGCTCATCATTGTGCTGGAAGCATTTCCATTATCACTCTGACCCATGGTCATAAGTAACCAAACTTTTTAAAAATACTTCATGTTTTCTCTAAGAAAAAAAAATGAGCTTCCCTCTGTCCAATTTTTTTCTTGTACTTTTCTATTTTCTTAGGGCACATTCCTAGGAGGAAAAGAAATCAGTTGAAGACATTGGTTATCTTTATGTTTTTTGGTAAACAACCACATTTTGCTAATTTCCCATTGAAATCACCATATTAGTGCATACTCTGAACTGAAGCAAAATTGTGTTCCAATTTAAGAAAATTTTTACCAGTTTGATATAAAGAAACATATTATGTACTATCTATTAGTGTATATGAACACACCATTGTTTCTTAGCTGTTGGTTTGAGTGGCATTTGATGAATTGCTTTGCCTATCATTTGCTAGTTTTTATTGATAGATAATTTCAAATGCTTTCATCAAGTCCTTTATATATTATAGATATTAATAACAATGATGTACATATTATAAATAACTTATTTTGATATAATCTTGATGTTTTATGTTCCTAACAATTCCTGACTTTTCTATAAAATTTTTTATCTGTTATAGGCAAATCTAATAATTTAGTAGCTGTATAATTTCTCAGTCATTACTCTTTGAGACCCTTGTCACAATGAGAAGTGCATATATATATATATTTTTTTCCTAGTTATTTATGATTTTATTTCTACATCTATACTTCATATTTTATTATATTAAATTATAATTAATTATTCATTTAGTATAAGTATACTCTGAGATCTAAAATATGTATGCATATTATTCCATTCCAGTTCCTTTTCCTTTTCCCATATGAAATTGGAAAACTTTCATTGCTTTATTTTAAATAGAGGTAAAATTTTTTTGCAACATTTTAATAAACAAAAATTTGTTTTTTCACACCAGGATCCTTCTACCTTATTTAATCCTAACATGTCTCTAGTAATATTTTCTGCATTTTAGAGAAAGGACGTATTCTTGAGGCACTAGTCTCCTCCAAGACATGTGCAATGGTTTAAGTATGAAAGAACTGACAGGTGAATTATCTGTAAAGGAATTACCATTAGGCACTATTATCAGAGAAAAAGGCCCTGACCTTTGTCTGCTGCTTAGTACCTAAATGTCCTTTGTCCTTTTCCTGTTTCTCTTCTTTCATTAAATGAATTGCCCTTCACTGAAGATCTACATTTAATAATGCCAAATATATAATACTTGTTCTCATAAGGCAAATGGGTAGTCAATCCCAGTTCAAGCATGGTTTTGATTTGTAAGGTAGAACAGTTTCTGCATATCACTTCTAGAGTGAAGAGAATTCCATGAGCTTAAATCAGTGACCAAAGATTACATTATCTCTGTAGAGGAGCTGCATTTCTAAACGGACTGTGCTGACATTTCACTGTGGAGATGCAGGCTGCATAATGCATCCTATTCCAGCACAGAATGAAAGCTTTACAGAGAGCAAGAATGTAAAGTAGGCAAATGTTAATCAATTTCCTAACTCTGGTCACAGTTTTTGCCTCTAAAATGTGAAAATCCTGGGAAAATATCACTTCAAAATGTTTTATTAAAATGCCTTTTCATTGAAGCCATATTTTTGAAATTTTTAGAAAGGAAACAAAAATTGATTAAATGATCTAATAGGCAGCAGGTAAATATATAAAATTCAAAATCTGCTAAGGCAAGTTTTCCATCTACAGATCAAAAAACAAAGAACAACTTAAGCATTCCATGGACGAAAGAAAATGTGAAGGATCATGACCAAGTAAAGAAAAGCCAGGTGTTTATGAAATTTTGAGTCCTGTGGGGAACAAAGTTAGAGTGGAAAGGAGGAAAGGGAACTAGATCTTATGATAAAACAACATAAACAGGATACAAAAAGAGAATAGCAGAAGTAATGATGAAGTGTTGCACAATATGTGTGAAGTCAAAGTCATAATTTCTTCCTGTCAGAGGATTAAAGAGAACAATAAATGAGTACTGAGTCAAAGCTGTGACAATCTCCAAAAGCCACATTAAATGCAGTTTAAATATTAGCGAGAATACAGGTTGTATAAAGGTAATCTAACAATGAACTGGAACTGAAGTCACCCACTTTGTCATGTTAGTAGCCTTAGTCCGTTTTCTATTAAGGGAATTACAGAAATAAAAGCTTCAGAATATTACCTCTCAAACAACATGGCAGTAGTCTATAATGTTGCTAATAATACTTCACACTTTCACCTTCAAAGAGCTTTGCTTTTAATCCCCTAAATACACCATATGCTACACACCAATTTGATAGATGGGAGGCCAATAGGGAAGATAAGTGAATCATCATAGGAAGCAGAGTCAGTGGAGACTAGAATTCAATGTATAGAGCCAGTATTTTGAGATTTAAGATTTATTTAAATTTTTTAAAATAATTCTTACAATGAAATTATTTAAATAGAACAAGTGTATGTAGTGTGTTCAATTGCATTTCTCTTTGTTATTGGCCTTTTAGAGCCTTACAGATACAAATTCACATCTATTTTAGGCAGGGATTCCATGGTGTAGGAAAATGTAAATGGATTCAGTAGTTTGTATTACTGTAGCATTTAAAAATGTCTGGGCCTTCACAATAAATCCATTAGGAAAAGAAAACTATATATCCAACACACTAATTGCACAAAGTAAGGGAAACAAACAGACAAAACCTTGATGGTGTGGTTTCAGTGCAGAGTAAAGACAGGCCGGAGACCATTCAGCCTCATTAACCAGGGATCTGAGCTGTGACCTGCCTTTGGCCTCAAATGGTACCCCGCCAGCTGCACTCCACTGGCACAGAGGGTGGTTTGCCATATACTTGTTAGTTAACTGGGCTAGTAGCCAGAAATGTTTCTTTTCCTTTTCTCATATTTCCAGAATTAGAGGGATTTTTTCCCCTACATATTTTTCACATAAAGATGCAAAGTATAGTCCACCCACTGTGAATAAATTTAATTTAACAATCTTTATGCTTCCTTGATTTTCATCAAGTAAAAGTCTACAATACAGGGGCAGATGTGTAAACTGGGAAATAGTCCAGGTTTCTTTGTTGTTCTTCTTCTTCCACTTCATGCCTAGCCATTCAACAATACACCAAGTTGAACAGGGAACTTGTGCTGGTAAACATGCCTCTACTTTTACTGAAGATAGTTCACTATTCGCACCAGTCTGTGGGCCAGGCAAGCTTCGTGTTTGAATTGTCTTTCAGCAAAACTGCTACAAAGGATGAAGGGCATCACATTTCAGGGGAGGTTCGTTTTGTTCATGGTGCTTTCTCACACTTGAAATCACATTACCATGTTAGTGAATACCAAGGTAGGGCACATATTTCTACAAATGACATAGTCTAAAGTATCACATATCTACACAGTATCAAAATTTGGTCCATAGTAAAAAGGGAAATTCAGCTTTGAATGTTGCTAACTTTCTGACTAAGGGCCTGCTCACTTACAGCTCCCACATCCAAAAGCTGCATGCAAGCCTTTCTACTTGACTTTTAACAGGTCACCACTTACAGCTTTCATATGCTATTCAGGTCATTTATTTGGTGATATCCAGAAAACAGAGTAAATTTCTTTTGGAGTCTTTGTTCTCTTCTACATTATAGGTAGAAGCATGCACTAAAGTTTCTTTTGTACAAAATGATTGTTAATGTCACATTCTTCCTCTGAAATTGGCATGRCAATTTTTTATCTTAGTACACAAATTGCTATCTGAAATCTCTGCAAAGGTCAGTTTTACTTCAGTGCTGTTTGAACTTCTTCATTCACATCTGTGTATTGAGAGGAAAACTCACTGGGTTCCAAAGGTTCAGTTAGTCTGTGTAAGATACCAACATAAAAAATTCAGGATATGGTTTGGGGGCTATTACTTTGTTTGCATTTTTTTCACCCTCTTCAACTCTGGCTGATGATGTTATGCTTGATGACAGAGACACCGGGAATATAATTTTTAGATTCATCCAAGTAAAACTATGTAGCCTGTTTTCATTTGCTCATAGCCCTCTCTGTTTTTMATTTATTACCTGCATTTTTCCAATTCTGTAGTTGAAACCCGATGAAAGGATCATCAAAACGGAATATGGGCTACTGATTCGAAGTTTGCAAAAGAAGGACTCTGGGATGTATTACTGCAAAGCGCAAGAGCACACTTTCATCCACACCATCGTGAAACTGACTCTGAATGTCATTGAGAATGAACAGATGGAAAATACCCAGAGGGCAGAGCATGAGGAGGGGCAGGTCAAGGATCTATTGGCTGAGTCACGGTTGAGATACAAAGACTACATCCAAATCCTTAGCAGCCCGAACTTCAGCCTCGACCAGTACTGCGAACAGATGTGGCACAGGGAGAAGCGGAGGCAGCGGAATAAGGGAGGCCCAAAGTGGAAGCACATGCAGGAAATGAAGAAGAAACGAAATAGGAGGCATCATCGAGAACTGGATGATTCTTAGAGCTGTGGCTACGTAGTTTTCTAATTTTTCTTAATTTAAAAAAGAATTGTTTACCTGCAAAAACACTGTCTTCTGTTTTGTACATCCTTCCTACTAACTCATAAATGCTTTCTATGGAGTTTTGATAAGACACAAGAACAGCAATCTATATTCAATAAGACTATATGTGGCGAATATGGAATAATATAAGGGCAAATCATTCATCTGAACAAGTTTTCCAAGAACTAAGCTTGTATCTGCAAAGTGGAAGAAGTATCCCGAAAATAGGAGTTTTACATTTGCAAATGTTTTATTTTGAATTTTTGAATCCATTATGTCTTGTAAATAATTGAGCTAAGCATGCATCAAATTCGATATTGTATTGAGGTGCTGTATTTCCTTGCATGTCCATTAAGCATGGAGTTTGCCATGCAGTTGTGCTATGTTCTTATGAAAAGATAAATCATTCCACTGCTAGACCTGGTTATCTTGTGGAGGGAACTGAAAGGGAAGGCACAAATTAAAACAGCTCACATTATTAACAGGAACTTTCCCAGTGAGCCATTCGCTCTTGCAGTGTGGTGTGGGAATTTGGAGAGGTGCACTATTTCTTTCAGGCCACAAGGGTTGCATTTAGTGTACTGCAACATTGATTTACTGAGGGGCATTAATACACTTCCTAGGATTCCTTATGATTTGTAAGGAGAAATAAGTTCACAGACAGAAATTGGTTCTTAGTTGTGTATTTCTAGAATATTATGCTAAGCTCTACAGGGATAGGATGCTTAATACATATTTTAATAAGATATGGGGAATATTTTAATAAAATAAGGGAAACATCACCATGTATACTACACCTTACTGGGAAGAGAGGCAGATGGGATTTGTTAGGAGACAGAAGGAAAGATAGCCATAAATCCTGGCTTTGGGGAAAAACTCATATCCTCACAAAAAGGAAGAATAATCACAAAGTGGACAAAATGCAACAGAGCTCCTTTCACTGGGAGCATAAATAGCTGCCAATTTGTAATTTATCTGTTAAAAAAGTCTGGATTATAACAAACTTCTAGCAAAAGTCTGAGGAAAAGTCAAATTTCTAAAGGATCATGGGAAGGATGATCATATTTTATTTATAACCAATGGTATTTCAGTATGTGTTTCTTCTCTTTTTTCAAAGTATTTATCATACTCTGTATATTATATTCATACACTTTCTTTATTCTCTCCTGAATATTGGATTATTGGATTATATTTGAGTGACTAGCAAAGAACAATATATAATACATTAAGAGAGAATTAAGTAAAAGACCATGGTGGGAGTGGGGATATGTATTTGCTAAATAACAAAATTTTGACAACGGAAAGGGTTAAATTAACTCTTTGACACATCTTTTTTCGCACAACCTTCCTGAATTTCTAGGTGATACTTTGTAATTCAAGTAGCATTGTTTTAGTAATTTAACAATAAATAAGCCTACCACATGTAAAGAAAATAAACTCACAGCATTAACGTAAACACCTTTCATATTTTGTTATCCTGTTCAAGTGTTTCTAATTTGACTTTCCCTCTGAATACGTATGGTGGTTTTCCTGTCTGTTTAGGCAGGACTCACCTTTCCTTCTTACAACACACAACCCTTAGCCTTCTTCTGTTTTGCCTTTTCACGCCCTTTATAGTGTGAAATGAAAAATTAGTCACTTCCTCACATGGAAGGCAGCTTTTCAGAAACCTAAATAACAGACGTTGCTCGTTTCTCATGCATTCTACATGTCTTGAAAGAAAAGTCTGTGAGAACTAGAGTGATGAGAGGGCCACTTGTTTCCGAGCCTGTGACTGTCTCTATGTTCAGAACATTGTCTGTGTCTTGCGGGTTTTTTTTTTTTTTTTTTTTTTTTTATGTGCATTGCTTACCTATCTCAAAGTAGTCACACTGTTGAGTGCCCTCTTTTGATCTTATACTCATGAATATTTGTAAATGTTGCTATAAGAAAAAAATTAAGGAACAGTTTTAATAGAAGTGAACCAGAATGAATTATTCTGAAAAAGTAATCCATAAAAATAGCTGTGCGCAGGGTTAGACTGCTAACTGAATATCATACGTGAATGTTTGTAACTATCAATTTTCTGGGATAAGAATGTCCCAGGAACTCATAGCAGGCTCAAAGTAAGTGATAACATGCTTTATTTTTAAGATTTCAATATTTGTGCATCAGAAAGTAATATGCAAATATGGAAGATTCTGGGAAAATTATCTGAAGCTCAAATGTAACTAGTTAGGATTGACTTGTAAAAATAGATTTTATTTTCATTCAGATATGAATGTCCAAGTAGTTTTTAAGTCTTAGTGATCAGATAACATTTTAGAAAGATATTTTATGCTTTCTATCTATAATTCTGACTGCCTTGGATACAGAATTATTAATTCATGATGATTGCATAAAATATATTTGAAAAATTATTAGTAAAATAAAATTTTATAAACAAAACATGGGAACAAAGATTTATGTGTATTTTTAAACACAGGCTATTGAAATGAYATTTAATTTTTGAACCTCTTAATCATAAATCCAAATCACTTAGAGAAACAGTGTGAATATATTAACTTTAAAAACACAGTATGTACCTCTTTACCACTAAAGATTTTACCAAATTTGGCTTGAAATAATAAAAAAGAAAATTATTGTTAATAGTTTCAAATTTTCTAAGAAATCAGCTCTGTCTGGACAGAATCTTAAAATGGCTACTTATGCTTGATTTCATATTTTTCTCCCTTACCTTCAATACACATGTCTTTGAATTCCTTCTGTGGGTTTTTTTTTTTTTTTTTTTTGCCTGCACTTTATTCTTACTATTTATACTGCTAAGTGGAATCCTGCCTGTCTGCATTCATTTACAATTTATTGGGAATTTTCAGAATTTGTTTAGAAATCATAACACTATATTCATATAACTGTATGAACATTTCAAAACTAACCAAATTTAAACTAACCAAATTACTTAAGAAAAGCAAATAGTCATAGAAAAAAAATTTACTAATTTGCTATCATTTTGTTGTTTAAAATAATGCTCATTAACAATATTCTGGCTACAAAATGGTCTTATTTTAAAATTTTCTTTGCTTTTATTTTTGGCTCTTCTTATACATTTTTTTATTCCTGCTGACTCAATTAAAATATAAATTAAGAGTCAGGGTCTGTTTTTTCAAATTATCAAAAATGAATTTTTAAGAACAACTTGGTGTCATTCAGATTTCTATTAAATAATAAAAATTAAACAAGATCATTTATTAAACACTAATTTTCTTTTGCTTAAACATGAGATATATTTTATATCTATCATTAAGACAAATGGAATCAAAACTGAAATACCCTCTTAGAATGTCACCTTTGTCTTAAATAATAAGATTTAATTGATTCACCTTATTGGGAACAGATAGTTTAAAGAAAAAAATAAGTGAAATGTTTTTATAAAAAGGTATATTTTTCTCAGAGTAAATGATAAAAATACTTAAGTAATTCAGCTTACATGTGAGGTTAAAAGAAATAAAAATCTATAATTTCCAGTTTCTATACATTAAAAGTGCACATGACTTATACCTCTCATTTAAGCATTTGTAGTATACAGTATTTATAAAAAGTTTGAGATAATTTTTTTTTAAGAAAGGGCAAATATATGTCAAAGGCCATAGTTAATCATGTAATTTAATCCTGGTTTTGTGAGTGTTTAGCAATCAATTTTGAACTTATTATTTTGTTATTTTAAAAGAAATGTAGTCTTGTACTATAAAATAATTGAAAATTGTTAAATGTATATTTTGGTTGTATTATAATAAAACAAACATTAGTGTTTTATGATCATAAACAGTATTGGTTTGTGTGCAAATTTGTCTTTTTTTAAAGTGAAAATATGTCAAATAAATTTTATGCATAGCATTGAATGAAATAATATATCAAGGAAAATAAGTCCTGAAAATTTTAAATAGATATTTTTCCACTGTAAATATGCAATGATTTCATTTATGAAAGAAAAGAATAAGCATCTCTCCCACTTTGATACAATTACATGGGTAAGCTTTATTGTGATTAATTAAATTTTGATTTACTGTGATGAACATTATCACTACAGGTCATCACTTCTTTTAAGGTTTCCAATTGTTATCCAATAAGTGAAATTTTAAAATACTCATCTATTATCTGCTTTTAGGGTATATATTTTGCTCATATTTTTGCTTAACAAAGACATTTCTTGAATTACTTTCATAGAAAATTATATGTCCAACTTGTTATACACATGAATGACACTTGATATCTACAAACAGATATATTATAATGTTCCCACAAATGTGGTACTTAAAGAGCATATAGACACTGTACTAAGAAACATCCAGTTTTCTAATTAATCAGACAAACTTCAAACATGACTTTAGAGTAATATAGTCTTTAAAAGTACAAATAATTTTATAAAAGTTACTTGATTTAATCTGTTTGGGCTATTATACTAAAATATCATAAACTGAGTAGCTGGTAAACAACACAAATTTATTTTTTATAGATCTGAAGTCAGAAAAGTCCTTTATAAGGGTACTGATCCCATTCATCAGGGCTTTTGTCCTCATGCCTAATTAGCTAACAGAAGGCCCCTCTCTTCCTAACACCATAAATTTGGGCATTAGAATATCAATACATGAATGGGAATGGGACACAAGACATTTAGATGATAGCAGCATACTTAGGTCTCAGATCAGGTCTAAACTATAATTGTAAGTAAAATATAGACAAGTTTGATAATTGAGAAAACTTGAGTTACATTTGTTTGAAAACAGAAAGAGATAAGTTAATCTCAAGATAGAACAATGGAGAATGTGACTTTTAAATTGAGATTGAAAAGCAGCTATTACTTGCTGCCTGCACTACATGGCTTTATTAATAAAGAAAATCCTTGCCCAGAAAAAGGAAATTGCAAATAAAGTACCGCTGTCAATTGTTTCAGAAGTTCATATACTTCTACTTTGCATATACATTGTTACAAAAAACACATTTCAGAGAATGATTTGGCAGTATTCCATGAAGTTAAAAA